ATCTATATTCTTCCAGCTGGTATCAATCTGTGTTACCAAATATCTTCAAATAGTTTTGTAGAACTATATATCTGTCACAACTGATTGATCACTGGGTGGTGATCAGTAGACGGTCGTTTCGTCCTAGTATGGTACTCTTCAACAGTGCGCATCCATGATCCCACCTCTCGAGATTTGAACCCAGGACCTATCATTCTCGCGCACGAACGCTTAACCTCTAGACCGTCCAGTGCTTCCAGGTTTTTCATTGTGGTTTAGCTTCGATTGACCCATGAATTTAACTACACAATAGTACAAATTTCTGAAATTTCATAGACAAGAAAAATAATAAAAATCAGCTATTATCAAGGATTTACTCTCACCCTTTCTCTTTCTCCTAGAGATCGACTGGATCATGAAGACATCAACATCTGAAGGATAGCAGGGGATACAGTGAACATCTAGGATGCACTTAGATGATCTAGACTTCGCAGATGATCCGACTCTTCTATCGCACACGCAACAGCAAATGCAGGAGAAGACGACCAGTGTAGCAGCAGCCACAGCAGCAGTAGGTCTCAATATACACAAAGGGAAGAGCAAGATTCTCCGATACAACATAGCATGCATTAATCCAATCACACTTGACGGAGAAGATTTCGAAGATGTAAGACCCTTTACATATTTGGGTAGCATCACTGATCAACATGGTGGATCTGATGCAGATATGGAGGCGTGGATCGACAAAGCAAGAGCAGCATATTTACAATTGAAGAACATCTGGAACTCAAAGCAACTGTCAACCAACATCAAGGTCAGGATTTTCAATACAAATGTCAAGACAGTTTTACTGTATGGAGCGGAAATTTGGAGAACTACGAAAGCCATCATCGAGAAAATACAAGTGTTTATTAACAGTTGTCTACACAAAATACTTCACATCCGTTGGACAAACACCATCAGCAACAACCTACTATGGGAGAGAACAAATCAGATTCCAGTTGGAGGAAGAAATCAGGAAAAAACGCTGGAAGTGGATAGGATACATATTGGGGAAAGCACCCAACTGCACCCAACGTCAAGCCGTCACATGGAATCATCAAGGCCAAAAGAGAAGTGGAAGACCAAAGAGCACATTACACCGAGAAATGGAGATAGACGTGAGAAGAATGAATAACAGTACGATAGACCTAGAAAAGAGGGCCCAGGACAGAGTTTGTTGGAGAATGCTGGTCTGCGGCCTATGCTCCATTAGGAGTAACAGGCGTAAGTAAGTAAATAAGTAAGTTAGTAAGTAATCATCAATGATATATTCAAGATAGATTCACCAAATTTGTCAAGTTAACATTGACTTAAATCAGATTTAATCCTGATTAAGTCCAGATAAGTTTGTTGGGCGAAACGTTGGAAATATTTAAATTTTAATTATCTCTTTTTCAGTTAAAAAAACATTAGAAATTAATGTCTACTACATTCAAATCAATGTCTTATTACTTCATTATTAATTATGTTTAGATACCAATAAACGTGAATATTTCTGAAGTATACCAACAATAACAAAAATGTTTTTTGAACATTGATGAATAAAAATTGGAGTGTAGTGTCGGTTATTATGGTAAGCCCATGACAGCCCATTCTATTCATTCTACTTGAGTGACATACAGACCTTGTTATTTATTTACTTATCAATCTTGACTGTTTTTATATGAGCGCGTAGGTGTGTGTACATTTCTTATCTCATTACTCATCACATTTCTGTAAATTACTTTTGTGTAATTATAAATATTGATTAACGCTTGGTCAAATGGGAGATAGCGTACTCGCAATCTCCACTGTGCGTCGTTCCTCTTCTCTTTATTCCATTCACTTTATATACAAAATATATGTATTCACAAGTCCATTCTCTTTAGTTGACTTATCTAAATCCGTTATTGACTGACGTGATTTATGTCGATTATATACAAGGATAGGCGATAACAAACATTCATTAGGATATTCTTCGAGTCAGATAACGGGCCCCACAATAAAGGAGTATTAAGTGTACAGAGTCCTGTATACCTAATGACATACTGGGAGAATGACATAAATACAATGCATAAATATGCTCTACATTGAGATATAGTAGTCCGGCTTTTGATAGGATAAAGTTGATTTTTGTTGTTAATTGAATATATTATCCATATTCAAATCGTTATATAAATACATTAAAAAATTTCAATTATTTCGAGCTATTCACTATCAAAGACCCTTACAAATCCTGTAAAATCAGTTAACATCTAAACGATATAAAGCGCATATCATGGCAATAAGTTTTAATCAGGTAGAACATTTTATCATGGCTATATAGAGCTGAAGGTCTCATATGAGGCTGGAGGTTCGCCATTGTTATTGTGGACGGTTCGGCATTGCTTTGGCAAGTTTTGCTGACTGTTCATGCAAAAATTGGTTTGCTGGTTAACCGATTTCATTCATACTGGTGGTTGCTTTTCAGTGTTCCCGAGGGGCATTGTCATTGGGACATTGTAAGGCATGCCGCCATTGCTAACATTAATGAGTTTGACTGTCGTGTAAGCGGAATAGGTCAACTTTGGCCTGTTCGTGCTGTGCATAATTGATTCAAGCGATCATTGATTGGAATAACTATACATGTGATGCGAATGTGTATATGTATGGTGCGAATGGTCCACCAGGGTTCTTGGTACCTGTGTGGTTGCGCCATAGGATTGAGCTGTACTATTCAGATTGTAGCGTTAAAGCCTGTACGGTGTCTGGTTCCCCTGCTAAACGGAATTGAGCTGTACTGTTTGGGTTTTTACGGGAAAGTCCGGATGATGTCTGGTTCTCCTGAAAACCAATGTAAAATTACTTTGGCCCACAAGGGTATATTATATTATTACTGTAGGTTCTAATGTGTTTTCATATGTAAAACACACATAAATATCCATAAAATACTTTTACGACGTACATGGTTAAACCAGAAACAAACTTCTGAATCAAATAAATTAGTAGAGATGTATGATGAGTACTTTATCCTTGGTGATCATATATGAAACATTTTATATTACGATGATGTTTCCAGAATAACTTGTTTCTCATAAACAGTTCAACAATATAGTTGTGTTCAATCAACAATAAATAATATCATGAACTTATTGAAGTTAAACATCAACATTGTTGGATTCTGGCTTAGTAGTCTAGATATTAGGCGTTTGCATCCGAAACCGAAAGTCCTGGGTTCGATTCCCACATGCAGAGTCTTAGACGTTCACTGCTGAGGATTCACATACTACGAAAAATACGGCGGTCCAATGCTCCTAGTATTTCGATGGGGATCTGGTTAAGATAAGCTAGCGATTTCAGCTGTGAAAATAATAATCTGTAAAATACCATCATAGTTAAGAGTTTAATGGAGGTGTATGATGTGGAAAATGTATTAACGACCTAACAGTCAAGTTTCCTGAATATTTTGTTCGTTGAACACAAAACATTGTTGTTAATTTTCACATATTTATTATTAAACACTAACCAAAATTTATAAAACATTTACGGATTTTTCATAATTTTGAAGCAACCTAGTCAGTTTTCTCAGAAAATATTTGCTTCGAGATTTGAAAATAATCAATATTGACTAGTTTTAGATAGAATTCAAGAATCTTAAACTTTTTGTTTGTTTGAAATTCATTAGCAAATGATGGCATGTCAGTATAGTCAAAGTTACTTATATGATTATTGATTCATACGTTCTGAAGAAACTTAATTTGACTTTCTAATGCTCTTTATCGAACATCAAGTCTTAATTCCGTCCACTAGTTCACAAATCGTTCAGTTTTGTTAGATTTGAATCCAATATCAATGTCAGTCTTGGTTTCTGGCATTTATTCTGCTTGAGCTCATATCCAAAGGTCTCTTACTTGAATATCTTAGAAAAAGTGACATTTCTGTTGAATTGTATGTTCGAGTAGATTATATCGTTAATCTTGATCACGTTAGAAAATTAATGTAAGAATTTTTAAACTTCAGCTCTGCTGTTTAACAATTTTATTCGATATATCGGTGAACTTTTTCGCTGATCGGATACACCCCATTCTGCTGAGGTGAATTTCTGGAGAATTCACTCCTAAACCTGAAAACAACGAAATCTAGGATCTTCAGGTTTTATAACAATCTATTAACTGCCAAACTGTTTGGGTGAATTTCAGTAGTACAAATTTCCAAAGTTAACCAACTACTGATGTAACAAGACAACCGTTCAACGCCATTCATAATGGATGCTGTACCCTCAATATACCTAAACGTTTCTGGTAACAACTACTTGCCAGGAACTTAATTCAACTAAGAATAATCTGTGACAAATACTACGTACAAATTTAAATGGTCTTTACAAAATCAATTCATCCAGCATTTATTTATTATTTATTTATTTAGTTGAACACATAAATATCGTTATAAAGGGGCACCGAATATATATGCACCATACATGTCACTTGATTTTCGTGAGCTATAATACTGCCTGGGTTCCCGGACCGAATCACATTGTCTCCTTAGGGGGCCACACCCGGAGCCTTTGATCTAAAAGTCTGATCCACAAGGCAGTGGAGCGACGTCAGGAGATGCAGTCTCATGGTAGCCGGTGACGAACGATTGGTTCGTACGCCAATTTTTCCTTCAGGATACTGGAGCCCATGTGCACCATTGGTTTGGAATCAGGGTTTCCCAAATCCTCTAGATGAATCTTCCCTGTCCACTAACCCCCAAATGCCCTGATACGGCCGAGGGAGGGAAAGTCTTCTCTCACTCTCAAAATCCTCTCACATGGCCACGCGTATATAGCCACTGACAGAGAAATCCTACTCACTACCTTCTCCCAGTAGCGTTGTTGTTTACAGAACTGAAAGAACCAAAAACTAATGTCCGGCGCATCTATCATTTATCAATAACTAATTGTCACCATACTGGATAAACAAATTAGAATAGACCTATTAGTAAAAAATAATTTATTTACAAGGTCTATTCACATTTGGTTACTAAAGATAAAAGAAATAAAAAGCGCATTTGAACTATGTATACAAAAGAAGTAATTTGTAAACAATAAAACAAACAGAGAAAAAAATCCGCACGCACGCACGCACGTACACACATACACATCTACATCTTTCAAATGGCTTATCTAAAATCATATTCAATAAATAATTAAAAATTTAACAGAGGATTATAATAATAATAAAAGAACAGTTCAACAATAGAATAATCATAATACAGAATTGATTAATATATATAGATGTATGTGTTTGTTTATTTATTTTTTTTCAAGTTGTGAGTAGTTCATTGTGTGTGCGTATGTGTATGTGCGTGCGCGAGCGCGTGCGTGTGTGTCTGTAGTATCTAAGGGAGAACGATAACAATAATAAACAATCAACAACAACAACAAAATAAACACCACCCCTATCGGAAAATATTTAAAATATAATAAATCATAAATAAATAAATAAAAAGATACAATATAAAATGAAATAAATTTTTTAAATGACGTAATAAATAATACCATAGAAATAATTTATTATTACCAGGAAATTTACAACATGGTATTGGTTTATTTAAAAATTCACATAATGGTAACCAACCTTGTTTTATATTATAAATTAATAAACGATCTTTTGGTACAATTAATTGAACATAATCATTCCAACGACTATATGCATTTATTAATTCATTATCATTTTTTAAATTAATTTTATTACCTAATGTATTTTGTAATGATAATAATTTTAATTGATTTAATTTTATTAACCATGTAAAAAATGGTAATTTAGAAAAAAATTTTTGTAATTTTGATTCATTTGATTGATATGGTATAAGATTTGTACGACAAGCAGCATGCCATAATTCAGCATTACGTATTGTTAAAATAACCTAAAATGGATAAAGTTTAAGTAAAGATATTAGTATACGATAAACATTAATAATTGATCAGGGATTAATTATGAAATAAGTTATAGTATAAATAATTCAATTTTAATGTTGCTAACTATGACATTAGTAACATACTTACATACTTATTTACTTACGCTTGGTACCCCTAATAGAGCATAGGCCACCGACCACCATTCTCCAGCCCTCTATATCCTGGACCGTTCTTTCTAGTTCTATCATATTGTTGTTCATTCTTCTTCGATGTCTGTCTCCATTTCTCGGTGTAATGTGTTCTTTGGTTTTCATCTCGTTCTTTGGCCATGAAGATTCCATGTTGGGGCTTGCTTTGAGACGTAATTCGATGCTTTCTTCAATGTGTGTCCTATCTACTTCCAACGTTTCTTCCTGATTTCTTCCTCCAACTGGAATCTGGTTTGTTCTCTCCCATAGTAAGTTGTTGCTGATAGTGTTTGTCCAACGGATCTGAAGTATTTTGCATAGATAACTGTTAATAAACACTTGTATCTTCTTTTTGGTGGCGTTTTGTTCTCTAAGCTGGATGGTTTGGTCGTGGAGCTTTCATCGTTCTTCTGAACGACATCATCAGCACAAACTTCAGATAGAAGTGAAGTGTTTAAATTTCTCCATATGTGTCTCAAAGCTTGTTCTGTGCACCTCGACGTTGATTGGTTCTTATTGACCTTGTATCTTCTGCATGATGGCTTTTGTAGTTCTCGAAGTTTCCTCTCCATACAGTACAACGGTCTTGACATTTGTATTGAAAATTCTGACCTTGTTGTTGGTTGACAGACAGTTGTTCTGAGTTTCAGATGTTTTTCAGTTGTAGATATGCTGCTGACATTAGTTGACATTAGATGAGACGAATGTATAATAAGTAAAATAAGAGTAGATTAAAGGTTTCGTAGCTTACGTCACTGACTGATCTTTGTTAAACAACTATTACGAATTAGGTAACTGTGTACAGCGCTTTCCTGGCAATAAAGAACACACTAGGAGTGTATCCATTACTCAACTGAGGATTGAACGACGATGTGTCATTACCATTAATGGTTAACTGCCTCATACTTGATACGGATGATCAGACCATGATTTTAACTATGAAATTCAACAATCTCCACAAATTCCTTATTGTATTGATCGTGATTTTTTCGCTCGAATATGAAAACTATGTGCATTTACAAAAGATTCATATAAAAACAGCATGTTTGAAACGCTTTCAATTATATTTAGAGATTTTCAAGCAATAATCAAATGTATAAACAACATTGTTAACATGAAGAGTTTAAATAGTTTAACTGAGATTCACTGTAAAATGTAATTTCTGACAGTATTTTATCATAATTAATTGATTACTGACTAGTGATCAACGCCGTGTCTCTTTAATCTTTTAGTGTCTATCGAATTCCTGTCGATAAATTTGCAATGTGGTCAATAGTCTAAGTGATTCCATATCAATGACATCTCTAAAAGAGAGCCAGTCTCAATTTTTTCAGCTCACTGGTAACGTGTGAGGCTGGTAAGCTGTATGGTTAACAATGATTCAACAGAGTTCATTAATTTCCTTAAGAGAGTAGGTACACCTTGTTGCCAATTTCTAACCAGCACAAAATCTAGGTCACTTAGAGTTTCCTAGCATCTACTTTCAGCCACCTATTATCTCAATTTACTAATAAATCTGGACAACCAGATTGAAAGTTGTTGTTTGGAAGGATAAGTCCATGGGTTATTTGTTATAGTTGAACATATCAATGCAGAGGAAACTTTCCGAAGCATAAAAGTCCACGGTCTCAGATAAAAAATACGATTCCTTCCATTACATAGAAAAAAACTTTTATTCACTCGCTATAAATGCTAACTTCTTTAAAACGCCATGCAGTTTATGTTGGTTTTAAAAAAAAACTCAATAGAGATTTGAAGAATGGAAAGAAAGATTTATGATATAGGTCAAAAATGATTGTTAATTTCAATTCAGACAACCGGTGATTGATAGAAAGTAAGAACCTGCTTCACACTAAGCAATATTAACATCAAGCTATTCGAATTATGATTAACCTTCAGTAGCACTACAGTGAATATACTCATCAGTTACTGCTAAATTTCGATGATCAAAGCCAACCATCAATTGGAGTTGAGCATCAAATCTGATAAGAGGAAATATGTAGAAGATCTAGCAACGGTAGACGAAAATAGCAACAAAAGAAGGGAATATGAGACAACTATGTGGTGCAAGCAAGAAGTTAGCGGAAAGATATGGTAAGCCACAGCGACTGGTCAATAACACTAAAAGCATAACAGTCGCTGGAATTCAATAATAGTGAAACAGGTTGGTACAATAATTTGAAGAGCCTGTTGAACAGATCAGTGCCAATGAACCCACATGACATCAAAGCAGCACAAACAGATCTTCCTGAAGATGTGATCACAACAACAATTAAAGAAATCAATATGGCCATCAGACCAATCAACAGTTGAAAAGCAGCAGGACCACATAGCATACCGATTGAAGTAATGAAGTCAGACACAGATGTAACAGCGAAGATATTCTACGTTCTCTGAGAAAGATTTGGGAGGTAGGACAATTATCGACAAACAGAAACGAAGGACATCACTCAGGCGCCTTGCTTGAATATCTGTTCTACCTATTCCTGCGATTTAGATATTTCAACAAGTTATCTGTTTCCTTGTTTGTTTTAACATATCGTTATGCCTATTAATCTCATAACCTATCGTGATGGCTGGCAATGCGCATTGAAATGAATGAATATTATTCAGATGACAACTTCTAAAATGATAATATCTAACTAGTGATCACTCAATATTTGTTGTCAATATCGATCAAGAAATAGGAATCGGAAACTCGCTGAAATACTATGTGCTGAGAATTCTACATTTTACCAAAAATATAATATTGAATACAGCTAATAACAATAATGAAATACCAAATGAAGATCTTAGCAAATACGAGAACTACAGAGGTATTACATTACTATCAATACCACAAAGACGTTTTCAGTAGTGTTGATAAATCAAATAAAAGATTGAGTATAAGCCTAGCTTTAAGATCAACAAAGTGGCTGTCATAAGGATCAATCTGTCAATCTAGTAATCCAAACTCAAATCATTCTGAACTTGGTTACTACAAGATGATTTCAACAATAAAACTACTGTCAAATTTTGAAAGGTTTATTAATTTTATTGATCGGAGTTTTGTCTACATAGACTTCAGTAAAGCATTTGACAAGGTGCCAGCAAATAGACTGCTATTGAAGTTAGAAAATCCTGATATTGCCGGGTTTCCTTTAAAATAGCTTAAGGATTTTCTAGTAAGTCGTAGATAGAAAGTAGGAATAAGTTACAAGTGTTCCACCTGGAGACCAGTACTTGATGGGGTACCTCAAGGTTCTGTCCTAGGTCCTTTACTTTTTATACTGCATGTAAATGATCTCCCAAGTATAGTTCAAGGCCCAATGTTATTATACGCTAATGATGATGATGGCGAATAGTAACCGGAGGCCCAGATACATGTACACTTCAGGCGGTCATAAATAAGGTGATTAACTGGTCTAAAGAGTGGCTGATGTCTACCAACGCGGCGAATTGTTTCTATATGCACTTTGGGAATACAAAGGTTAATAGGTACAGCATAGGGGAAGTATCTGTACCCGTGGTCCAGTCTCTTAACGATCTCCGGGTGACAGTGAGTCATGATCTTAAGGCGACGGTACAGCAACGGGAGGTCACAGCTAAGGGGTTTAGAACCCTCTGAGCTTTAAAACTGGCATCCACTAAGTTAGATTCTACTATGTTCACTACGGTATACACAACCTTGCTGAAAACTAAGCTTAAGAACTGCGTTCAGGCTGAAAAACCTTGTTTAAAAGGTGAGTCGAATATCCTGGAAAAAGTACAAAGGGCAGCTACCCGTGTAATTCCAGAACTCCGAAGTTAACCATACAAAGAGCGACCTCTTTACTCTGTCCGATCACAAACTAAGTAGACGTCTAATTTTGATACTAAGAGATTATTATAGACCAAACATATTCTTTCTTTTTCATCCCAATAGATCGGTGCCAAAAACAAACAAAATACCTATGGTCTAAAAGTTTTCACATCGAATCATTAATACATGCAACCGATTACCCGTAGCAGTACTGTCCATAATTACAATTGATTGATCACTGGTTGGTGATCAATGTCTTGCTTGTCTAGTAGTCCTTATTAGTGCAGATCAAATGCTATCGATCATGTTGCAATGTGGCCACCAGTCTAGGTGACTTGACACTGCGGGCACTATGTATTGAGATTAAGATGGTGGTTGGAGGTAGTCAACATCAAAACAAACACAAAAACCACACACTCACATACACACACATACACATATACACATAATCAACTTACTTTCAAATTAGGATACATTTGTATTAAATCATTTAAAAATGATGTAATTGGTATACCAGATATAGATTTATAATTTTTTAATAATAATTTTAATAATTCTTGTTTATTATAATGAAATCCATTTAATTTTGTTTGATATTGACATAAATGTAATTCTAACCATTTTTCTATTATATCATTTGATTGATAAATAAAATCAGTATAATGTAAACATGTTGTACCATAATATAAAATTTCTAATGCACATTTTAAATAACTAGTTCCAGTTTTATTTAAACCAACAACAATCACTTCTAAATCATGATTAATTAATGATTTTGATATAGATTTATTAGAATTCCATAAAAGATTCATTATTGTTCTTTTCTTTTATTTTTTTTTGGTGTATGTTTTGGAAGGGGGAAAATTCAAATCTGTTTCAAAATTGACACTATTGTTTATTACAATTTGAATTTTATAATGAGAAGTAATGATGATAGAAATGTGATTTGATTTAATTTTACGATAAATTCTATTCACATTTATGTATTTATATGTATCTATGTCAGGTTTAATTAATAAATTGGTAGGTCAAGGTTATGTTGATATGTATACATGTCTACCATTACATACTTGTATACTTGTGTATATATGTATATATGCATGTTTGTGTGTATGTATGTATGTATGTGGGTGTGAATTAGTATCACAATGTCAGTAATCATTATGTAATGTAATGTAATGTAAACGTGATTTCAATTACTTCATTAATTCTATCTTATTTAATTCTATTTTGTTTAGATCAATTACATAAAGTTCAATGATAAAGAAACAAAATTATCATGTGTGTCTAGACTCAATAAAATAATAATATCATAAGGGGTTTTAGAAATTTCACACTTGGCGTGAGACTGATAGGTTCTGGGTTCGAATCTCGCGGGGTGCGGGATCGTGGATGAGCACTGTTGAGGAGTTCCATACTAGGACGAAATGGCTGTCCAGTGCTTACAGGTTTTCTATGGTAGTCTAGCTTCAATTCACTGATGATCTCAACCATTAAAATTGTTGTTATGTGTTTGAGTTTTGGACAGATCAATCATACAAATAACTGAATAAATAACAGAGGGACTAATATTTCACTGAAATACTCCAGATATTAATAAGTAGAATTAAGTAATATATGACTGAGAATTAAAATATAATCAACTGTTTAATTTAGATATTGTAAATATTATTATTTCAGGTAACTTTTTTTGTGATCAACTGATTTGATTCCAATTTGAATAGATGTATAGAATAGTGCTATGAACATCAAATCTCCCGTTTAATTTCGTATATTACAACACTCTAGAGTAACCCCATTTTTTGTGTGATGCCGGTAATAAGAAGTCAAATACAGGTTGAGTTGGATGAATTTATTGCGAGTACTTGTTTATTCAGACATATTCAAAATCAAAAGTGGAATAGCAAAGAGAAGTGAGTGAGCTAACTCGTTTAGATGAAGTGTGATTCAATGGGGTTATTAAGCGAACAGCTGACATGATCAAAACGTGGCTCATGAAAAATAAACGAATCGGCATGTCTGAAAGCTAGAATAACCCATGTGGACACAAAGGAGAACTTATCATACAACACAGATGAAAAATTTAAGAAATTTGGTGTTAAACTCATTTGTTGTACTAGAGGCCAATTTTTTTTTAGGTGAAACAGTTCTCCATAATTTTCAAATAAACATTTAACTGACATCAATTCGTAATGAAAACTTTGAAAAAATTGTTAAGTTATGAACACATTCTGTCTTACCATTTCACGTAATTATTGATTTTGACCCAAATAAAATAAGCTCTGTGGGCTTAACATAACAATCGACACTACAGTGCTTCCAATTCCCGGCTTAGTGAGATTTTTAGCCTTCCTATTTTCCTTTCCAACCACCAGGATTCCAAATCGGTGCTTACCTCCCGACGCAGTTTGATGATTTCCTCAATGTGTGTCCTATCCACTTCCAACATCATTCCCTAATTTCCTCTTCAGCTCGATTCCGGTTTGTTCTCTCCTACAGTAGGCTATTGTTGATGGTCTCCAGTCAACGGACATTGAGTATCCTTCGTAAACAACTATTTATAAATATTTGTACTTTTTAGGTGGTGGTAGTAGTTCTCCAAGTTTCAGCTCCGTACAGTAGAATTGAGTTGACGTTTGTATTGAAGATTCTGACTTCGATATTCGTTGACAGTTGTTTTGAGTTCTATATATTCTTCAGTTGTAGGAATGTTGTTCTTAATTTATCAATCCTCGTCTTTGCGTCCACATCAGACCCATCTTTTCCATCGATGATACTGTCTAGGTTTGTGAAAGTTTACACATCTCTCAGAAATCTACAAATGCAATATTTATTAATAAAGTAACAGGTCTTTAAATGGAAGATGACTCATTTCTTTTCCAATACTAATAACTTAAGCGTTCTACTGAATACTATGAAGGTAATTGAAGAATAACTTTTTCACTAAGTCTCTTTCAAATAATTGAATTAGTTTAAATCAATCACTTCAAAGCAAAATATCTTAACTATTAAAGCTTATATATATGATAATAGTATATTGGTTCCTTATCATAATTTTCAACTTTTTAATCCAAATGTAAAAGGCTATAGTTTAATTTCTTATAATAATGGACATTTTAGTGAATACTAAAATATACTAAGAAGTTAGACATTAACACCGTTGGATGTCGACTCAGTGGTCTAATGTTTAAGCATTCTCTCACGAGACCATGGATGTGCACATCTGAGGCATACCATACTAGGACGAAATGGTTGTCCAGGGCTTCCAGATATTCAGTTGCGATCTAACATTGATTCATTCATGATATCAATCTAATTTTATGAAGAGTTAGTTTCACTCAGTTTGTTTAACTGGTATTTGTGTTAAAAAATGTTTAAGAATTATTATTTGCTATAACTTCTTATTTATCTAAATATTCTTTGCTAATGATTATAAAAACTTTATTGCCGTAATTAGTGAAGTTGTGATAGTTTAAAATATAAACAATTATCACCAATGACAATAGATGGTAAACATATTTTCTTGTGAATTAATTAATATTGTAATTAGGATACAATGAATTTCTACTATGGTCAGTCAGCTACAACGTAGGACCAGGACCATATATGCATTGGTCTAAGTTGTCATACCTCATTAACACAACAAGATGAACACCGGATTCATAGTAGTAGTTAATTCAATGGTGGTAATATATAAAAGAAAGATTAAATATAAGGATATAGTACAGGAAGATAGAATTAGTAAGTAGAAAGAAGAGAAGACAGAGAGTGTATACATCAGTGCCAAGTTCCTAATTTAAAAATAATATACTCTATGTTAAACTTCAATATTTCAGATTACACTGATGATATGGTCATTGATATGCATTCTTATTGCATTCTAAGCTACGGTGAAATATACACTTTTCGTTTAATTCTTATTATTGTTAGTGTCTTTATTCAATATTATATTTTCAGTACAAGACAGAATTTTCAGAACAAGACATACCTTTTCTTATTACTTGGTCAATCCAGAAGGTAAATACTGAGTGATAACTAGTTAGATATTATAATTTCAGAAGTTGACATTTGAATAATATTCATTCATTTCAATGCACAATGCCAGCCATCACAATGTCGCCGATTGTACATTTTTATAACTAGCACAGAGAAATGTCGTAAAGTTTTCATAAATGCACCTGAATGAGTTATGCAATCAATTGATATAATGATGTGTTAAAACAAACAAGGAAACAGATAACTTGTTGAAATATCTAAATGGCAGGAATAGGTAGAACAGATATTCGAGCAGGCAAGCAAACAGTGATATCCTTTCCTTCTGTTTGTTGATAATTGTCCTACCTCCAAAATCTTTCTCAGAGGACGTAGAATACCTTCGCTGTTACATCTATGTCTGACTTCATTACTTCAATCGGTATGCTGTGTGGTCCTGCTGCTTTCCAACTCTTGATTGGCCATATTGATTTCTTTAATTGTTGATGTGGTCACATCTTCAGGAAGATCTGTTTGTGCTACTTCAATATCCTTTAGAAAAAATTCGATCTAAATTTGTTGTTTATTTAATTAAATCATACTGTCATTAGATAACCCAATAAAATGATCACCATATGAACGTTAGTTAGTTTAAATATAACGCTGAATTCTTATAAACTTTATAAATATACAATAGTAGTAGATAGTTTTTGTTTAACATATTAAAATGAACTTTGAACTTGATATTCTAAAATTAAAACTATTTTGTTTAAATAGTTTAATTGTAATGAATAGTAAAATTCACGTATATTAATCTTATATCAAGTTTATCAACTAGATGTACTTGTATCTATGTATTAATATTTATATTTAAACTTTGACCAAATGTTTATCATTTCAAATTGTAACTTGTTATTTATTAAGTTATTAAGTTCAAACTTTTATTAATTTCAATAGTTGAAATGATGAATCAATTGAAGTTAGATCACTATGGAAAACCTGGAACTACTGGACAACCGTTTCGTCTTAGTATGGAACTTTGCGAGATTCAAACCCAAGTTTTTTTTTATGGTGGTCTAGCTTCAATTGATTCATGATTTCAATTATTGAAATTATTAAATTCTCCACAAAACCCCCTTCTAATTCTATTAATTTGTTTGACAGATATATTGTTGATATGATTATTAATAAGTGTTTATGTCATCACTTTGTTAATATATACACAAGTGTATTTTGACCAGATTTTGTTGGCATATATAAATTTTGTATAGATTACTTTCACATGAATATGTTTTTGTATCTTTTTTTTAAAAAAAAATAGACAGAACATAGCTAGTAGTGCAATTTATGATAGGCTGTTTGTTTTATTTTGGTTGGATGGAGAATGCTGGTGAGTGGCCTATGCTCCTTCACGAGGAGTAACAGGCGTAAGTAAGTTTACTTGGGACTTATCAGTTGGATGTATATTGAATTAGAAAATTTAAAGTATAATGATACATTTCAAGTACTTCATTTTACATTATTGTATATGCGGAATTATTTTTGGTGAAAGTACAATTGTTCTTCTGTGAAATTGAATATTTTAGATAATAATCTTAATTAATGAATTAAATGAGATACTTTCGAAATTTATATTTATTGTTTCACTATAATCGTTTCACCTATAAAACTTGTTACGCTGGTTGTTAGAATTTAGTATTTATAAATAGTTGTTTACGTAAGATACTCAACATCTATTGGTTGATTATCATCAGCAACAGCAAACTATGGGAGAGAACAAACCAGCTTCTAGTTGAAGAAGAAATTAGGAAAAGATGATGGAAATGGATAGGATATGCAT